TAGAGTCACTAGAATTTCTTTTCGTAAAATTTTTCGTGTAATTTTTCGTGTTCCATTTCTTAAGTGAGCTACTGTATGCTATCAAAAACCTTTTTTTTTTCGTTACCTGATCGCCATTCTATTCTTCTCACCCTTCTCTTGTAACATAACAAGATAGGAGGAGAGAATGGAATAACTATCACTTGCAAAATTCCTATTGATTGATACAAAAAGCCTATGGAGGGTGCAAGTTATAATAAAATGATGAACTCAGCCTCCTTGTGTAAATATCGTTTCATACAAAAAAAGATTTATGATGTATTTTAGGAATAATCAATTAAGATAATAATAATGCAGGGTCTTTCTTTGGTCAAAGAAATGTATAGTGAGTAAATAAATACCGATATAGAACGGGGATCTTTGGTCTCGACTCTTTATTTTAGTTTTGTGTTGTTTAACATTTCAGAGGGACCGGTCGTCTATAAGCAACGTGCACAAATTTATTTGATCCAAATCATGGTTTATCTTAAGGGTGCAGACATATCGCCATGTCGTACCATAATTAAATTATAATTGATATAACGATAATGCTAATATTTATTACCGTTACTATTACATGTATTTCATTTATCTTATTATTCTATTTCGTTCTATATTATCTATTGAAAGGAGGAAAGACATGTTACGCTTTAAAAACACAAGATAATTAACCATATCTGGATCCAGCCGATTTTGTTTGGCAGTTACATGATTCCCAGCGTTAGAAAAAAAGACGCTTACTAGTTACAGATGAGGCAGGTATCATTAAGTATTTCTTTGGCAAGTTGTTCCAATATAGGAAATTTCAGTTTATTCGCACTTCCAAAAACAGTTTGCTTGGTACCAATTCAATATTAGGCTCATTATTTGAATTGAAAGTTCGAAGTCACTTTAAAATTCGTTTAATTTAGATAAACAATTATTATTGTTTAATTTAATCGTTAATCGTATAATCAAATAGTTATCAATTAAAAGTTATCAATTAAAAATTGTGATTGTTTTGGCAACTCAACTAACTAAACAATTATCAACTACCGATTGTGTTTTCTAAATATTCTAACAAGGATAAGCATCATTTTGATAACTCAAACGCCCAATTCTTCAGCCTTAGTGATTAGAAAGTGTGCCCAGGATAGCATCTTTCTAACTGTCTTTCGTCAGATTTTTCTTGTTTTACGATTCACCATGTCAGATACCTTAAAGGGAGGAATGACAATAGCATCGGATTCTCAAGTAAAAAATCTGATCGTCTATGGGCTTACGCAGCATTTTGCGTCGCATCCGAATGACTGCCTTATCAAGCCACTTGGCTTTTTTTGCATGCGTTTGGAGGCCAATTGTCTTTTTTTGATATTAAATTATCCACAGAGCCGAACGATACGTCCAATGTCATGCTCACCAATCTTGTATACTACCTTTTGTGGGAGGATACCATGTGAATGGTGTCCGAACACCAGAATCAATTGAAACTGCATGGAGTCATCTACTTGAGTTTCGCGGATTTGTCTTTGCGTTTTCTAGACCCAGGCAAACGCCACTCATAGGTTTGACGACACAAAGCGCGCTCATTTTCGTTTGGTTTACAAGGCTTATAACAATGCGAGTAAGCGTATACTGATGATGAATGTATAACGAAGCATCTTTTTTGATGGGAATGAGAAAATGTGCTGGTGAGTCTCTCTATCATTGTATATTATGTTTAATAACCAAGTTTCTCGCGAGCAGAGCTTGATCAATGACTTCAATGTTGTTGGCGGGAGCCGAGTCCAAGCAACCCCGTAAGCGCATGCCAAGACGGATGACAGCTCACATAAATTCACGCTCCCATACAGCTGCTTTACGAATTATTGTTCATTATGTCAATGTCAGCCTTCACATCTGCATATAAAGTTTGAGTTTATCTTTAATGGGTCAAGCTTTCAACCATGCCTGCTGTGTTGGACCAATACGGCAATCTTTAGTGCTGACGACTCCAATGGACGACAGTAATATAAGCATATTTCATTCATCGCTTTGAAAGCTGTTTCTGGATTGATTTAGGTATGGTTTGATGGCCAATATGCGGTTGATAGTATTTATATTTTCTGATGTTTGTCACGGATTGCTGACACCCTTTTCTTGACCTTACGTTTTTGATTGTCTGGACATTCTCATCGATGATGCGCAGCTCATCTTTAACAGATAAAGATGTCCTCGGCAAGTTTCCACTGGTCGGAAGTCAGGGAACCATGAGTTTTGCAAAATGGAGGAGACAGATTGATAATGTTATTTCTGGTACCTTTGAGGCCAATATCCCTTCGCAGCCCCCCAATACATCTCAATTCACAGTGAAATTTAGAGTAAAAAATGACTTTGTGGCCACGCGTTTCAATAATTTCTTCAAGTTCTACACGTAGTATCCACGGGTACTATTCAATTAAAATAGTATAAGTTTGAATAAGACCCTGGATACTATATACAGTGCTAAACGGTAATCATAATCCCTTGTTCTTCCTCCCCCCGAATCATCCAAAATATTCTTCAATCACCACCTACCCGACCTATTGAACGATGTCGGCACAGCATAAGACAAAAGCTTTTGAATTTGGTATATTAATGCAGTAAGCGATATCAATGATATAAATAATTTATGCGTACTGCATCAGTATATCAAATTTCGTGAGTTTTTTTATTTATATTTTATATGTAAAGAAGAAACTTTCGCAAAGTCAAAGGGAAAAAAAATTTCAGCGAATAAAATAAGGACTTCTATCATGTTACAAATTATTTACACAAATCTTATTGAAACATTGAATAAAATAAAATCACATACCAAAGCGTGATTCTGAACGATCCCGCTCTCCAAGAAATAGATCACATACAGGGATCTGTGCAAAACGCGCGAGAATTGACAGCCATTTATACGCTACGCGATTTTTGATGCACTTTGCTAACTTCCCTGCATTAACATTTTACCTTCTTAATAAACAATTTTGCTAGTTCCTCTAATTTTATTTTAAGAACCTTCATAGGATACACGACACAAACCTAAAATGAAAAAACTCGAATGAAGGTATTAATTTTATCGTGACCTAATAATTAAAATATAAAACATCTATATAATATATTTCCATAGAAATCTCTAGCCTGGATTCCGATGAGAAAACGTGCATCACTGTTCACACGCAAAGAAAAAAGTGGATTTCTGCCGTACTCGTAGTGACAATCCGTAGTATGAGTATTCGAGCTGCAATAAAATGTTGTGTAGATTCCACGTTCAAAACAACCCAGGATCATTTTGAACTTTTTGTCATAAACGCAAACTGCGGCGAATACAGAATGCCAGTAGCATATCTATATTTTCCAGCATGTGACAAAACAGATAAACATAATGATCCCAAGAGCCAAATCAACACTCGAGTACAAGTCCTATTTGAGTATTTTAGCAACCTTCGGAATGAGGGATTGTTGCCGATATTTGTTTTGGCAGATAAGGATGCGAGAGAAATATCAGCTATGGAGAAGCTTGATGGACAGCAAATCTACAACTTTACTATTGGCATTTGGAACATGCTATCAGTCGACGCCTAAAGGATAAGAAGTTAAAAGCACTAGTTATTCGAAAAACAAGGCAATGGAAGCTTACCAGCAGTTCGATTTTATTGAATCATCATGGATTCCAAATAGTAATACTGGAAGTTTGTGCAGATAATAAGAGCCAGAAAATTATAGACATAATCAGACGGCATGCGAACATGCATTACTGATCCCAATAATGAAAAACACCTTCTGACATTCTGCACAAATCTATCAACAAGACAAACTGGATGCTATTTGCTCGTTCAGCATATTCATTGGCGAGTGCTGAAATATAATTACAAGTATAATTATAACCGACCTGGCTTACACAAATTCTCGTTGAGTAGCTGATACCAGATTTTGATCACAAACTAATTCAATACTTCACAAACCATAGTTTTCCAGCATGGTGGCAAATCTTCAAGGAGGATTGAGACAAAGCCGCGAATACAAATATCGAATCTGATATGAATGAGAGGTACCATATTGACATAATAAACTGGACATGTTCTTGTCCAGCATACTTGCACAGTCGTTATCTCTTTTGATTGCGAAAAAAATGTGAAATGCTTTTAAGGAAAAGACACGTCGTCACGACTACCCTTCACTCTTTTTCGGTGTTGATAGAATACCAGCAATTTGACGATCCTTGGAAAAGGTATGGGTTAACTATAATCGAAGATAATTCTACTGAAGAATCACACTCAAATTCTAGCAATTTGCAGAATACAGAATTAGCAGAAACTATGCAGAAGACGAGCTACAAACAAAAATTGGCTTATTATAAAAAAACCTTTGATTCCGCATTGACATTATATAGAAGAGAAAAAGATAACACTTATTTGTAAAGAACTTGCTCTTTTGAAGCCAGTCGTCAAAGTCATTGATAAGTGCGAAAAGAAGCTAGATGTTCATACACAACAAAATCAAAAAATCGCGCAAATTAAATCTCATTTGTTATTCGAATACACAGTGAACCTGGACATAACGAAACCTGGATAAAACGAATTTTCCTTTATAATGAAGTTTTCTGATGTACCAAATTTTTTTAATATAATTTTCTACCTGAAAACCTGGTTATACCGAAAAAAATGGGTGGAACGGTTATATCCAGGTTCACTGTGCATATCTTTCATTCAATTAAAATTAGATCATTAATTGGATGTGATCACCCTCACGTGATAGCCACTTTTTTAACCATGCAACCATTATCTCAAAAGAGGGGTTATAAAAGCGTTCAAACAATAAATATTCTTTTTGACATTCATGCATTTAAAATAAAAATTGTCTAGAAAAGGAATAAAGTAATGATAATCTAAAATACGAAATATATGATAGAACTAAAGTCAATAAATTTAATAATTCTACGTCAATTGTACGAAAATAAGGTGAACAGCATATAGTAAGAAATTGCTTGAATCAACGATTCTAATATGAAATATATGAACGAATATGGATTATAAAATATATGAACAGAACTTTAAAGGAATTTACAAGTATATGAAATATATGAACAGTACGAACAGTAAAACGTCACAGAACTAAATATATAGCAAGAAATCGATTGAACTAATAAATTAAAACTTCTAATAAGAAAATATATGGATTATTTTCTCTCAAGAACGACGAACGACAATTGATATAAATAATATAAAAGAAACTAAGTAACAATATAATATACAATACAAAAAAAATCGAATGAAACGAAAGAAACGAAACGTAAAAGAGAAGAGAGTAGCAACCTGTGCTTATGTTTCGTTTTCGTTCTTTAAGAAATAATAATAATAATAATAAACAAATATAAGAAAGTAATAATAATGAAACAACAATAATGAAAATAAAAACCGAGAACTTTTTTAGCTTATGATAATGTTGATGCGAATTAGGCAATCTGGGTGAGTGAGTGAGTGAGTGGGTGGGTTATATTAGCGATATGCGTCCATGAGGACTTCCGTAATATTATTGTCATTAGATGTAAATGATTGATGATTAAATGGATTTGTAGTTCCATTTATAAAATTTTGCGCCATGGTCCCCGCTTGTGGATTTTGTGGTTGTGGCTGGTTTTGTATTTGATTTTGTTGGTTTTGTTGTTGGTTTTGTTGTTGATTTTGTTGATTCATTTATGTATATATATATATATATATAAACAAAGTTTTGGTGTTGAGATTAAATAGGAAATTGGTAATAGAATGAGAAAAGTTGTAAAGTATTTTTTTGTTGCAGTTGAAGTTGAAAAGTATTTTTTATTGCTGTTATTGTTGCTTGTTCTTGAGAAAGCGTTATTCGAATAAAAAAATTTTGGGAATTTTTTTGATTACCGTTTGAATATCTGTTGTTTATATATATAGATTAGATAGAAATATATATGATGTATTTGCGTGAAATATCAAATAAAAAAGCAAAAAAGAAAAAGAAGGCGTGTTAGTTTTATATTTAATGAAAAAAATGTTCGACGAAGAGTATTTACTAGAATAATATATTGACTTCAATATATACACCAAATATAGAGACGATTGTTTTTAAATACATGTTTGATTAGATATTTCAAAAAAAATTATCGTTTCTTATATTATTTATGTGTTATGTGTTTTATATATATTTATATTAGATATACAGTATTAGATACCATAAAATGACATTGCATACATTATTATAATCCAATAACGAGTTATTTGCTAGTATTAGGTTAGTCTTTTTGGCACATTCATGCCAAAAATGGAACTTGAGTCAACAGCCCAAAATCAAATTAACTCATGGTTGATATGCAAAAATCGTTTCCTTTTTCCTTTGCGTGATTTGATTTACCAAACGCCAAAAAAGGTAAAAAATGTCGTATGTAGTATTTTTTTGCTTCAATTTTATATTTTATACTGTGTTCTACACAATTAAAAGCAATAACGTGGGGATTGATCAAAAAAAGCAATGCATGCGGGGATTGATCAAAAAATGCAATGCATGCAATGCATTGCATTGCATGCAATCACGCCTCCTCAACAAATAATTAATTAAAGTCTTTCTTACCAATTGAGATAAGAGGACAGTTGTATAAAGTCCCGCAACATATAAGAAATAAAACAGGTTATCTAACAAGTTTCTTTCCGGGTCCCGTCTTTTTGATCCAAGGGACTTGGTATTATCTGTTGACTTATTTCTATCGTTATTATTATTATTGTTATTATTAGATTTATTGCACGTCAAATTTGATGTTGTTCTATAGATAAAAATAGAATTATATGTTCTAAACATTGAGCAAGGTACTTATTATACACTGTACACTGAGAACTAATAGTATGTTTAAATCAAGAGAATAGTAATCTTTAGGCGAAATAAAAAGTCATTCAACATACCAATTGTTCTCTCTCGTTAAATTGATCTTAAAGCCGTTTTGATTTTGAAATAATATTAATAGTATTCACATCCACTCTCTAAAGTCAACTTTTACTCCCACACAAATGCAATCAATTACGAAACACGTCTAGAATCAACGATATCAATGAGTGCAAGTTGTCGCCGCCGTCGCTGAAGTGAATGCTTTTGACTTGTAAATGGTCAAAAATAACGCATAATTATCAAATAAATAACGAACTATCAAAAACGGGTGTTGCATAAAAGTACATGCAGAGAAAAAAAAACAATAAATTACATTGTTGTATTAAAAATAAGATTGTACACCTTAGGTTTATTACTTATTTAACATTAATTATTAATTAGTTGATTCGTTATTTATCTTGTTGAACAGTATTTTGCGTGACCGTCTGTCAATAAAGTCATCTCGTCTGTCTGTCTGTCTTACATCAAGAATTTAGGGTGAGTTTTTAGTTCGTTCCCCCGAAATTTTTTTATGACCGATTCGAGACGCGCGACGATATTAAAGTAAAACAAAACGATGGGAGATAAAAATGAATAAAAAGGTTGGATATATGTGTCAAGTGAACCGACTGATATCCTGCCGCTTTCATTACTGATCTGTATCTGTGAATAATAAGATGACTAACTTCTTATCTCTCTTGAGCTGTTTCCAGAATTCACTCTTGTATTAAGCATTAAATACATACACATAAATATTCAATTAAATAATAATAAATATTCTAGATATAAGAAAAAATTTCTCGAGAGGCGGCGTATCTGTGATTCTCACTTCTCTTCTTTTGCTCCTTTTTGTTGGAGGAAAAGTAAAAGTAATAGCAAAATCGTGTCAAGATCATAGAAGGAAGACACGCACATAAACAAACATATTGCTACACCGTTTATCTTCGTCTTTACCATTCAGCTGCATCCACGCTTTTTTTTTTATTTTTTTCTCGTCTTTTTCCCACTATACTTGTTTATTTCTTTATGATATTGTTTACTGGTATTTTAGAGTAATCAATCTATTTCTTTGTCCTCGATAAACTCCAGTCTTCTCGTTCGTAGGGTACAAAATACTCAGCCATTTATTCGCCTAAGCA